TATATAATTATTATAATTAATATTTAATTTATATTTAATCTGACATGACATTCATCAAAAATTGAATCTTTGGCTGATGAAAGAAATGGAAGTCTTGAAACATGTCCCAGCATTAAGTAAGAAAATATAATGCAAAAAGAATTTAATTATCTAAATCATTTTAGGATAAAATAACCAGAATGATATTTAAAGGTGGGGCTTGCAAATATGCAGCCTACATTAGCAAAAAATATTTTCTGCTATAAAATATTACCTGCATTAGAACAGAAAATATGAGATTATGCCAGAAGCCTAACAATTCTTTATTATCCAAAATTTAGCTTGTTAGGAAAAAAAGCAAGCTTATGTTGATGGCAAGAGATGTCATCCGACTTTCAGTTGGTTCGTTCATCCCTGCTATAACTTCAAAATGTGAATATGAAGCTTCTAGCCGACATCAAAAGATATATACCAGGATGAATTTTTTTAATGGCGTATTTTAATATATTTAAATTTGAGTATGAATTTGCTTCCTATATCCTTCATTAAACAAATTCTTTGATCAGTATATTCCTGTACAAACAAATGCAATTCTGCTGAGAAAGCTTTTACTGAAGTTTTCTTTTTTCAGAATCAATGCCAGGAAATAATGTACATGCATGCTACATGAGGAGTCAGCTAATGAGATAGATGCATTCCATCATTTCAACTCTTAATAATTAGTTAATTCTTTATATAATCTTCTGTTTGCTATGCCCCCCTCAGGACATTGGTGAACATGGCTCTCCACAACTCCTATTGTTTGTAACACTTAGCAATGTTTGTCTCCTTGCCAAGCCTCCTAGCCTTCATTCAGCAACCCATTTCCAGAAGTGTCCTGGGTATGATGATAAACTACATCCACATCCTGGGTAAGATGGTAAACTATGTCCAACAGCAAGGCCTCTGATCAGGAGGTTTTGAGAAGCGTGGAACCATCTCTTAATTGCTGGTGTTCCCAGGTCTGTCCTGACCCAGGGTGGTAGCACCTGTTAGGGTCCCAGCTATGGGCAAATAGTTAACCCTGAAACTGGGGTAAAAACACTATGAAAGTGTAAAAACAGGTTTTAATACCAGAAATACTTTGTAAAAAAATTATTCCCAGCAATAAATTTTTGAAGAAAATAAACTATAAAAGCTATACATTTTTGAGGAAAAAAATATTACCAGCAATAGTTTTTTGAAAAAAATTATTACCAGCAACATATTTAAAAAAAAAAAAAATTATTACCAGAAATAGATTTTTGACAAAACAAAATATTACCAGCAATGAAAACTTTGTCGGCATTGAATAACCCATTGGGGTTGATATGCCATAAAACGAACCAAACCAAACCAAACCAAACCATTTCCAGAAGTTCATCAAGTACGTGGCCTGCTGCCTTCCCCTGTTCATTTTGCCTTTGATATATCCTGTGAGTGTCAAATTCTTTTTGAAACATTGGTTCCCATACAATCATCAAAGCTAAGCAATATTGAGCCTGATCAGTACCTAGATAGGTGATTGTGTGAAAATACCAATTTATTCCTGCTATATTCATATATATATGCAAACACTCTTAGGAAAGGTATGAATTCACCTCTCCTCCTCCTGGCTCTGGGTTAAATACTAAGATCTAAAAAATAATCCCCAAAAAATAGATAAAAATAAAATTGCGTACAAAATATTTTGGCATTAAATAACACATAGAGGTATTGGTATGCTGCTATATATATATATATATATATATATATATATATATAAGTATATAATTGGTATATACGGAATGAATTCCAATAACCAACAATTACTATTCTTAAAAGAGTGCTCAATACAAAGTAGAGCAGATATAATTATTTTTTATAAAAAAATTATAACATAAGTATGTTATAAAATCACTACAAAAATAGCCATTTTGTTTCAACACACTCTGTGTCTTATCAAGTGATATATATATATATATGTATATATATAATAGATATAGATACATGTACATTATTATTTTCAAGTACTATTCAGTGTTAAAGTGAAGTTTTCTCAAATGTTCTATCTTGTTATATGCAAAACAAAGCCATGCTAATATATGAGCATGTGCTGAAAAGTTCTTGGCCTGACTAAAAAGGGATTTTGATGTTTGGTCATTTGGTTATACTTTTGGGATTGGCACAGAAAGGAAAATTATACATAGCATCAGGAAGAGACAGTTGGAATTTCTTGGGCACATAATGAGATAAGAGAGCTTGGAAAATCTGATACTCACAGGACAGGCTGAAGGCAAGAGGGACAGAAGGGAAACTACATATAACCTACTTGGTGAGCTTGAGTAAATACATTGCGGAACAGGGTTTAGGAGAGATAAAAAAGAGATAAAATTTATTAAGAGCTACAAATTACAGGAAATTGTGGAGAACCATAATCGCTAACATCCTATGTCCTGAAGGAACATGGCACAGAGAAGAAGAAGAAGAACAATGAGTTGAGCCACGTCATATTCTCCAATTATGAAATACATTAGACATTCAATAATAACCATTATATACTCAAATACACATGTCTAGTAATCTTTCTATGCTTGTAAAATACTAAAGAGTTCATTACTTTAATAAACAGCATGCTAGCATGACAAGTTGTGATTATAGGAAACAATGTTTACAATAGCGTTTCTATATTTTACTGTGCTTAAGTATAATGAATATAGCTTATTCACACACATTGCAAACGCTGTAATTTATTTATTCTACTTGCTGGTCAGATCAATATAAACATCAATATATGTATATATATTGAATGTTTCTGCATGTGGTCACACAAATGCACACGTCTGGGTATATCTGTATATTTGAATAGACAGGAGACTTTTTCTTCTGGCAGGACTAAATTTGGTTTATTGTTGACTTTAGAACATAATATTTAAATTATTTTCCAGCCTACAACCCTTACCCAGAGACAAAACAGTGTTAGCTTCTCACTACTCTATCATTATTTTGTTGCAGATTTGAATCAAATCACAGCAGAGAAAAAGGCAAGAAAGGTTTTTAATTATAAAAATCTAAAATATTTTTATTTTTGTGTTCTTACAACTAAATCTTTCTCAGCATGTATGAGTGTTAAAGTTTTTATGTTAAAGTTCCTTGTTTGTAGTTGTTTGTTAAGATGATTTTTGTGTGTATGTGTGAGAAAAAAAGAGGCAAGAGAAAGTGAGGAGGAAAGTGTAAGTGTCAAGTAGCTTGGTGAGGAAGATGGGTGAATGAGTAAGGGAATCTCTTTTAAGACACCATCATGCAGTGTTGTCATTCCTTATTGGTGTTATCCAAAATACTTAAGTATTCTTCAAAAGGATCATGAAGCATGTTTTTTTATTGTCGGCGACTGATTAGTTGAAAAATGTTAAATATTTATTTTCAAAGTATTAATTTATTAGCTGGTAGTCTGTTCAAATCCTCTGACATAGAAATCATTTGACCATCTTGGTGTTTATTTCCATCTTTACACCACAATTTCCATGGCAAATGTTCAGGTGTCATATAAGGGTGAGTCTATGACAACCTATTCCAATCAAACCCATGATCCCAACTATAAGTGGAATTATTTATGTCTTCATTTTTTAAATTTCCACTTCAAGATCCTTGTATTTTGATAATTTTTTTGAAGATCTTCAAAGTGACATTACAATCTGCAGGAACTGCCATGTTAATAAGAATAGTACATTCTCTTTTTGTGTTTTTTTTATAATTATACCTGGATTATTATTATTATTTTCTTTAATTTCTGTTGTATACACATTTCTTCCTCATCCCAACCAGAGACGTAGGATGAGATTATGGCTTCATGACCTTTTCCACTGATTTTGTGGACATTTTACATAGATAAAGCTCTTTATAATATGTGAGCTGTACTTGTGAGTACAATTTTTTTAAGGCATGGGCTACCAGGAATCCCTTCAATAAATCTATTAGTACCTTTTCCAGTTCAAGATCCTTGTATTTTGATAGTTTTTTTGAAGATCTTCAAAGATACATTATAATCTGCATGATTGCCATGTCAATAAGAAACCATATTCTGTTTTTGTGGTTTTTGATCATGACGTCTGAGTGATTAGCTTTGATTGAACTGTGTCTATTATAAAGTCCCATGAAATTGTTACAGGTCCTATTATTATTATTATTATTATTATTCACAGAATATGATGTTGGTTGCTGGTAAAAACTTTGTTTTCAGTGAAAAGTCAAAAACATTTTGTATTTTTTACTTTTACAGAGCTTTACAACATATTTTTTGTAACTATCTAAAGTCTGCCTATGATTCCATTATATATAATATAATGGAATAGGTAGATAACATTATCATTACTATTTAGCTAAACCTTTTCTTTCAGATGTTATAATGATGAAGACAAATATTGTGATGCTGGCAATCTTGAAGCATTATGGCAGTGAATGCTGGACAATTTTCTCACAGATAAAAGCAAAAGAGATATGGCTGTACAAAAGGATGCTAAGATTATCATGGATAGAGCAATAGATCAAAAAAAGATGCTTGCACAAGGAATCAGAAAGAGACAGTTGAAATTACTAGGATATAGGCCTTGGAGAATTTGACACTTACAGGACATATTGAAGGCAGGAAGGACAGAGGAAAGCATTGAGTAACCTACCTAACAAGCTTGTATAAATGAATGGTAGAACAGGCACACATAATGAGGAAAGAGGGCTTGCCAAATTTGACACTAACAGGACATATTGAAGACAAAATGGTCAGAGGGAAACAGTGAGTAACCTACCTAACAAGCTTGTATAAATGGATGGCAGAACAACAACTGGGAGATATGTCTTTTTACTATTACTGCCAGTCATTGTTCAGCCACCTATTTATACAAGCTCCTAAACTGCTGCTTTATGGAACATTGGAGGATCTTATAATCTAGACCTTTACAATAAGGTTAACTGTTATCTTCTCTGCATAACCTCATGAACTTCACCTCTTACCATTTCTTATGCTAGGCTTATGGCCACATCATGTTGAAATACCAGTTCCTATACAATGACCAAAGTTAAGCAACATTGAGCCTGAACAGTACCTAGATGGGTGACTGCTTGGGAATACCAGGTGCTGTAAGCTTGAATGTGTGGGTGGTCTAATAAATAATTTCTTGGAATTGTTGAATTCATTTTATTTACTTACACGCAAATACACTTGGGAAAGGTATGAATCCAACTCTCCCCCAGCTATGGGTTAATTAGTAAGACTTGTATCACTAAATCATTAATATCTCAAAAAAAACTTTTACAATCTAAAAATATTTTCTGGCCTTAAAACAGTTGATAAACTAGAAAATGAATGAATTAATCAATAAATCAATTTTCTTATGTTCCTATAACACCACATAGTAACCCTCTACCTTGAGTTGCTCTTGGACCTTGTGAACATTAGTATATAAAAAAATATCTAGGCATAGTTTATTATTGCTTATCTTCTTTCCACTGAGTATGAGTTTGTACTACCAGACTCATAGGTTGAACTCATAATTGCTAGAGCACTGAATTCAAATATATTTCATTAATCTTAACATTTTTATAAAGCAAAAAAAAAAACGGTCTGTTATAAATTATAAAAATGTCTTTTTTATAAATGTATAAAAAAATATCTAATATTTGTAATGCCAAACAGGTTTAAAAATTTCTTCAGACATTTAACAAAAATGGATTTTGCATTTCCATACAACATTGGTTAATGGAAAACTTGTTCATTTTCAGCCATCATTTTTTGCAGCAGAAAAACCACTTATCCATTCATAAACAAAGGATGAAGTTTATCCATTTGTCTATTAGTCTATATTTAATGCATGATTCTATATTAAATAGGATCAAGTTTAGACAAGAAAAGCTTCATACATTTACATTGATAGCTATACATATATATATATATATATATATATATATATATATATATATATATATATAGTCTGAATTACTGGGATGGGGATTTATCATTATTTACACTATTTATATTCAGACCATTGTCCTTATCTTTGTTGTAGTTATCACAACATGTCATCCTTTGTGTCTTCCAGCCTTCCTTAGGTGTATATCAATCTGGGTAACCTACAAGTAATTCTGAACTGAATTTTTTATTTAATCTATGGAGGCAGACTGTTCTTGTTCCACTGCTCATGTCTATATCAATACCGTATAGTAATTATTTATAGTACTGATCACTTATTGCTTGCCTGTTTCCACTGAGTCCAAGTACACATTGCCTGACCCAGGGATTAAACTTATAACCACTATGTCACCAAATTCACAAACCAACTGGAAGACCAGATATTTGAAGGTGCACTTATAAATTGTGTAATCCTCTGCATAAATATTCACTAAGGATTAGAGTATGTTCTTGGCATTGATCTTATGGACTTCTGATGACTGGGGATTAAAAATGACCTTCAGAGATCTACCTGTTAGGAAGGACTTGAAAATCCTTCCAGAGATTCCATAACTGGAGAGTTTATGTAGCAGCCCCTGATGCCACACTGCCAAAGGCCTTTAATATCTAGGGCAATGGTCCTCATGATGGGCTTATTATCTAGTGTGTCACTGATTCTGTGTGCAAAGACATTGGCTGTGGATTTAGCAGGACAAAATTCATACTGGTTATCACTGAGGAGATTTTTCCTGTTGAGGTGTTCAACCAATTTCTTGTTGATTATAGATTCAAAGTGTTTGCTGATGGCAGTAAGGAGACTAATAGATCAATATTATGAGAGGCATGAGTGCTCACCTGTATTCTTAAAATCAGGGTGCACAGGTGACACCTTTCATAGACTTAAGAAGCCTCTTTCTTTCGGACAGTGATTGAACTGTTATTCCAATATTGGAGATAACTCTGAGCTGATATTCTCAAGAAAAGATTTTTCTGAACTGGTGCATTCTTAGTGTCAAAGCTTTTGATAAATCTGGAAACTTCCTGTGCTGTAATATACTACAAAGTTTGTGCTCTGTAAGAAGGGGGAAGTCAGGTAAGAAGTGGTCCTTATTTTCTAATGTAGAGGTAGAGGCAAATTTTATTGCAAAGAGCCTTGCCTTGTCATAAAAGGATATAATAACTTCAGAGCCATTTATGATAACTGAAACAGATGCTTTTCCTATACTGAGAATTTTATTTAAGATTTTCGAGAACTCACGGGAAACAAGTCTTTTATTTTCAACCTTGGCCTGAATTGACTGTGCATAGATGCTCTTTGCAATTTTTAGAACTTGGGCAGTGGAACACAAACAATCTACCCTTTAAATAAAATGCTTGGTTTAAATTCCACCTTTCCTAATTTCCTAATTGTTGTCACAGTGTTTAATGTTTTAAAGCAACAGTGATAAAAACAAAAGCAACTATGCATCTAGAAACATCAGATGCCAGAAATCTATTCCCACTCACCACACACACACACACACACACACACACACACATATATATATATATATATATATAATCCCATTAATAAGAACATTAATCTGATGAAGTCCTTTTAGAGAATGAAACACATTACACAGGATTTTTTTCCATTTTGTCACTCAATTACCCAACATACATATATATATATATATATATATATATATGTTTGTTTTTGCACACACGCACACACATTATAACATATAAATAAATACATATATAAATCAAAGCATGGTCATTTTTACAACATATATCTATGTATGTAGAAATATATATTTATGTCTGTATATATATATATATATATATATATATATATATATATATATTTGTAAGTACAGATATTTAATATTATTCCAAACAAAATTGCTCATACATTCCTTCCAAGTTTCCAACTTCAGAGATAGAAGTGGAACTGCTGACAGTGCATAAATTTAATGGAGTGATAATATGTGTTCGTTTGAATCATTTATCTTTGAAATTTGGATGTAAATCCTCCCTGTCGGTACTTTTGAAATCAATAACTGGCTTGTTTATTTACCCAAGACATTAAGAAGAATATTTTTTTTAGAAAAGTATACAAGACAGAACTATTTTTTTGCACATAGCATTAATGCCCTTTGCAAAGGCATGAATCCACCTCTCCCTGCATGCACTAAATAATAGTGTGCAAAAATAAAAATAAAATTAGTGAACAGATTTCAAATTTCAGTTGTGACTACTAGTGTTCACATAGCATTAATGCCCATTGGGAAGGCATAAATACACCTCTCCCTGCATTCTATACATTCTATACAAAGAGAATTTAGAATGGATCTTTTATTAATCCAACTGATTTTTATCACTATAAAAGTTATTTTTAGTGAATACTTGTATTTGAATAGGTGCTCTGTTTATTTGTTGAACAGTACATTTATTTATTTTTGTCTACTGGCTTGAATGTTCAAGAAATCTTATTAAAGAAAAATTTGTGCTTTCCAGCAGGAATCAGACCTGTATCTGTCAGGGCAGAAGAAGTTACCATTTAGCCTGGCATGCCTTACCGACTTGGCCATGAAGAGCAGTCAGTCAGGCGAGGCCAAATTTTGTGCTTTCAAGCAAAATTTCTCCTGACAGCTCTCTCAAACAACTCAAAATGCTTTTCCTACAAATTTGAAAATACAACCTCATCCATAAAAATATTTTACCTTACTACAATCAATAAATAAGAAATGGATAGCAAAATAAAATTATCAGTAGATGTTGTTAAAAATATTTGATTGACAAATGATAGGTAAAGAAAACAATGATACTGAACCAATAGTCAATGACAAACAAAACAAACATTACAACTCAAAATGCATTTCCTACAATTTTGAAAATTACCTCCTTTTCCATAAAAAAGAGAAATATTATGCTGAAATGTAAATATAGAATTATTTATGCCAGTTTATACATAATTTAACAAATATAACACATTAAATTTTCCTAATATAACAATACCTCAGGATAACAGATATTTTTAATAAAGTAAGTAAACTTGTTAAAACACTCATTTTAAAAATAAAACAAAAAAATGTATACATCAACTTAAAAAAATGTATTTCAATAGAAAGAAAAATAAAATAAAAAATGAATAATAAAGACTTCTCTTTTTAAAGAGGATTATATTGCTTTCTTTGTGCAATGAAAAAACACATTTGTTTACTTCAAGATCAGTGTGATATGTATTCAACTTAGTTGTCCAGATGACCCCAAGAACAAAGGTCTGGAGTTCGAACTCATGTAGGGCTACCTATGGCGGTAAGGTCAAAGAGGAAGTGACCAACCCCTGGATCCCAATAAGCTGACTAGGCAATGATGTACACAATCTCAACAGCCAAACCAGTGGAAGAGATCAGCCCTAGTTGGAGCAGACCTTGACAGACCAAGCATCTGACAGCCTGGTGCAACCAGGTTTGCCAGATCTTGCTTTTTGCAATCCCCCTTGAAGTTCAAGGGAGGCACTTCTGGTCAAGTGTGTGGGTTTCTCCATCACAAAGGGTTGTCCACCAAAATCAGATTCACATGAATGACCTCATCAAACTCTCTGATTAACTGCCATCTCTGCCACTGCCACTAGGGGAGAGAAAAGGATCAAGAAAAGGAGATGACAATCCTGATGCTAGGATGCAAGCAGGTGCTGACAACAGATCTCTCAAAGGTTTTCATATCTGCACAGATTTTATCTATGATCAATTCTTGTCAAAAATCTCAAGTGATTGAAAAATTATGAAACTAATGAGTTGGACTTTGATAAATATTGAAAATTATTATATCTAATTTAATAATATATATAGTGATTTTATTTTGACACAAAATTTTCTGTTAATAGGACTTCTCAATCTAGGCTGGTTGTTCACTAATTAAAAACCTCAAACACATGTACCCACTAAAAATAACGTTTATAATAATATATATATATATATATATATATATATATATATATATATATATATATATATATATATATATACTAAAACCTAAATCTTAAATTAAAATTTAAAGTTTATATTTCATTTTCAAGTGATGCTCAATAACTTTCAAAAAAGGATTTTAAAAAATAATCATTTTTATGAAAGTTATTCAGCATCACATGAAACAGACTTTAAATTTTAAGTTAAATTTAAGATTTAGATTTTAGTTTTGAAACATAGTAAT